AGGGCATAGAGTCACCGACTAAAGCAAGCCAGGAAAGGTAATTGCTTACAGACAGACCATATTTTTGAATAGCAGCTTACTCTCAAACACCGTATTCCGCCAAAACCATTTACTACGCAAACAAGACCGGCAACTGGTTGAGCTGATAGGACCACAGCTGAGATTGACTCAAGAGCGTCTGTGGCTAAAAGACTAGCAGCATATTCTTCTTCAATTGCGACAGGAGCTCATTCTTTCGCAGCTTATTCGTCGTTTGGGCAAATGGATGTGGGATGGAGCTTGAACTAAGGGACCTGGGGCGTAGCCTTGATTCAAAGTGTCTAGGTACCAAGAGTAAAGGAAGGAGGGCTAACTAATATAATAGGGGTAGGGGGGCGCTAACGAGCAAGAAAAGGCCCCTTTATTAGTAAGGTTGCTTGCTTGTCACACAGGTCGTCTTTGGCTCGTCTCCTTCCGCGATACGCACCTGGTAGTATCCCGCCGTAGATCCAACTTCGAGAAGTATCTCGCGCGGGCGAAGAAGTCTGCAATAAAAGTGGATACTTGTTTTTGATAGTTAGGTTACCTTGTTGAGCGCCCGATAATCAATGCACAAGGCTCCCGCTTTTTCTGGAAAGGGGCTCCCCAACCTTTTCCCAGCAGCAATCAATATAGGGAAAAACTGCCTTGGAGGCTGGAATCAAAATAGGCCTCCATGAGTTCCTGAAATTGATTCCTGAGTTCAACCAATCCCCTTAACTAATAGATGCTAGTTGGGGGGCCATCCGCTTAACCCAGCCCCAGTCTAAATAGTTGGGGGTTTGGCTCCAGGCTCCAACTCGATCTTGTGGTAGACTGCCCTACTAGGGCGCACTTGGCAACTAATTCGTGGGGCATGATATCCCAAAATTCCTCAAGTACTTGCTGCACTTCCTGAGAAAGAAGTAGTCTTGGTATTGGATCCGCTCTTCTGAGAGCATGAACATCAATTAGATTCAATTCCTCTTCTTTATTCTTAAGAGAAACCCCCCCCCCGAACCATTCTTAAGACCACCAAGCTCTCTCGAATGAATTCTACTCTTTCTGCTTTCGAGATAGAAGAGTAGGCAAATTGATTACCCACTAAGGTGTAAAACTTTGTGACTAGATCGTCCTGAAAACGGATGCGACGGGAAGAAGTGGCATTTGAAAGTGTTGCTGACTTAACATTTAGGTTTCGGCATAACAAAGCTTGCACTGTCTTTTCGCACTTAGGCGCACAGCGTGCCATTGGTAATGATTCTACTANATGACCAAACATTCACGAACTGCGAAACAAGTCTTCACTTTTGACCTACCCGGTCAGCCTTTTGGGTTAACTGATAACTTAGATTAATGTTTTATTGGAACCGATAGATTATGGTTAGGCATGATCTAAATCAATGTATTTTAATTACCTGATTTTAAAAATTTATAAAATAAGGAGACACTGTTCTTACCATTTTCCAAACGTCAGGTGTCAATGTGGAGGCATAGATGATGAAAGATTGGACGGCCAAAGCCGGAGCATAGTCAAGTCCATCACAAATTTCTTCATTTTCATTTATGAATCTTTTGTACGTCGTCAAGGTCTTGTCCTTTCCAACCTTCTCAACCCGATCCAACAAATAAATAAGCGGTCTTTCACACGGGTCAGGGCTCATGACTTGGGTGTTAAACTGGAATGGCTCGTCGCTCCAACTCCTCCATGTCTTAAACGTCGAAAATGCTGTTTCCAGCTTCTTTGCCGTCACCAAGGATGGATACAACTGCACCGTGTAACCCCAAGACACAGAAACGGACCAGTTTCGGCTAAAATCATAACAGAAACTATGCTGCAGAGCCCGATCAGGGTCCATTTTGTATGCACTAATTAACTTCTTGAGTGAGTCAATCTGAGACATTTGCGGAAAAATAGTTTCCACGTAGTCCAAATGATGTAGTGACACCAATGGAGCCAGTGGGTGCGCCGCCAGTAAGCCATACGGGTTCCCTCTTATATCAACCTAAAGCCATTAACCTTGACGAATTAATACTCAACAAAATATTATAAGTAAACTGAAAAATAGAGAGCTTCAAAAGAAAAAAGAAAAAAAACCTGATGAAAACCAAGTTCTTTAGTAACGGGTACACCGATCTCAGCCATGCAACCTTGTACTTTCTGATCAGACCCATAAAACGACGCGTATCGATCAATGCATCCATCTAAAACCCTCACGAGCTCAGCGGCTAAAGGGTAGCTGATAGCGAAGCCGCCGCCACCGTAAGCCATGGTGTAGGAATGTATAATATCCTGCTCAATACTCTCACTATTGGCACCAATGTAATACATCTGATTATGATCATATTTCCCTAACACGGTGATCAAGTTCTCCACAAAAAAAACTGTGTCGTCGTCTCCCATAACGAACCACCTTACATTATCCAATCCAAGCTCGAAACTTTCTTTCACAATACGAGCAATACGAACAGCAGAGCGTGAACCGTACCAGCTAGTGTATTTAAACCTCGATGTGTCCTCGGAGACTTTGTACGGTGGCGATGTCTCCGGCCAAGTTCGGTTCGGCTTCTCCTCCAGCCAAACGTACCCACGGGAAATGTTAGGCCTCCACCATAAGTCAGAGTAATGCCGGCGGGTGTCCCATGACTTTGCTGAGCCGCCGATACCAAACAAAATGTGGGATATATTTGTCTTATCATAACTGATGGAAGTATTGTTATTAGTATTAACAATGTTGATGAATTTCTGTTGAGTGATTAATCCGTCACATTGAGGGCAAGAGTGGACTTGAATATGCGTTGTAAAAGAGTGGTAGAAGAAGAGATAGATGGAAAGGAAAACGAAAATGGCAAGAGTGGCCTTCATGAATAGAGAAAAAAGGTCACTCGGTTTTATTGTTGGGAAAACCAGAAACTTCCCCGGTTTCAAAGGATCTTGAATAGTTTCTCTTGTAGATGACATGACGATGGATAGATAGATATGAGAATTTTGATTTTGAAGGTTAATTAGTTTTGAACGCAATGGAAGTCAATCCCTTAAAAGTTGCAGAGTTGATCACCTTCCTCCATAGTTTCTCGCCTAAAGACGACTCCTTTTAAAACAAAACAGGGCAGACGTGATGTGACAGATTCTCAATTAATTAATATCAAATTTCCAATATTATGCCGACACCAAACAAGAAGCTGCCTTTTCTGTTTGACTTCTTCTCACGATTTAATTTTATTCTCCAACTCAATTTCTTAACCAAGGAACTACATAAGGAGATTATTAAACGACATGGAACTATGTCGTTTTAGGTTTTTTTTTTTTTTTTTTTTACTCCAATACACACATTTAATATTCACACAATTTTTTTGCAACCGTGGTTTACCGTTTACCATACGCAGATATTAAACTAAGTTTAATATAAAAATTCGGTTTGTTCATTTCAACTAATAAATGGTCCGCATTTAACTTATATGCCTAACAACATTTATTATTTAATAAAAATAATAAATAATAAATGTTATGCTTATATGCCTAACAACATTTATTATTTAATAAAAATAATAAATAATAAATGTTGTTAAGCATATATGTTAAAAATAGTCAATAATAAATGTTGTTTTTATTTAAGGAAATATTGTTTCTTTCAATAAATTATGAAAATGAATAGAGTTCCTGAATGGGAATATAACATATATATATACATCTTCTCTAAAAAATTACCATAAATAAAAATATAGATTAAATGTGTTGAATCTTGTATACAAACTGCTTTGGTATAAAACGATATATATATATATATATATATATATACTTCAACTTAACTAATAAATACTCGAGAATGATACGTTGAGAAATGCTTTCACTTACAGAAAATAATAATAATTATTTAATTTTATATTTTGTCTCTTGTACACATCAATCTCACAATGATACGAGAAAGTGAGAAGAAAAGTGTTCTTAGCACTCCTCGTGATATGTTAATAATAAGAGTAAAGTCTTGCTCTTATTAATTTATGTTTTAATTTGTTTTATGTTGGATGTAAGATTTGATTATTGGTTCTAATTTACTTTATATCTAAATTATATGGAGATATTTGTGATTGATTCAGCTACTCTTTTAAAGTTTCCGTCAATACAATGCAAAGCATATCATATCTTAATACAAATTCCTTTTTACAAACTTTACTTAAATGAAACTTATTTTCTTGATCATCTTCTTTCTCACCGCATCATGTTAGTTCGTCCATTATAATAATAATAATAATATTATAGTAAAACATTTATATAGTGATACACTATATAGGAATAAACTTTGTATAGTTATACATAATTTTATTTCTAATTTATGATAGTTATAAATAAGAATAAACTCTACATTGTAATGAGTTATAATTTTTCTAACACCTGTCTTAAGAAAAGTTGTCACCATATAGTAATAATTATCTGTATATCACAAAAAAAAAAAAAAAAAAATATATGTTACGTTACATTAAAGGTTTAAGATGAAACAAAATATTAATTTAAAATTGTTTGAGATAATGATTTATGCTTTAGAGTTGTTACTACATTTTTTAACTTGCGTGTAGATTACTTGCTAGCATGAATATCTTATTGTTTAAGCCAAATATTTCTAGTTTCTTATTTACCCAAAAAAAATATATATATATATATTTATAGTTTCTCAAATATGTTTAGAGCTTTTTGTATTTCCGAATTATCATTCTCATAATTATTTTCTTTATCTTTTTGTCTAATTGTAGTAATGATTTCTTTTTTTGTTAAAATATACATGACTTATTGTTCATTTGGTTGATTGAGAATGACATTAATATCCATTCAATTAGTGTAATGAAGTTGTCGAATTTGATCACTCAATTCTACAATGACTCTTTGATTATCCTCATCCACTTCATTTGTAACTTGCAATTCATCGACATCGGGGATCCTAATTTGGTAATGATTAAAACAATTGGAAATAGTATGTGGCTTCACATCAATTTGCTGCATAATTTTGTAATGATTAAAACAATCGGCAATATTTTGTGGCTTCACATCAATTTGATCATATAGTAACTGCATTTATAATTCCATCAAGGACACTTATCTTTATTGGTTTTAAGACACGATCATCTATCCGTTTCAAAAATAAACAATTGAAGCGCTAAATTGAAATCCTAATAGTATTAAAACATCAATTGAAATCATAATACTGTACTAACTAAAACATGACTTATAAAGAAATTTTTGTTACGACACCTCTATTAAGTTATAATCTCCTCATAGAAATAAAATTAATTAATCCCACCATTATGATTATAAAGAAGTTTTACTGTATTATTATTATTTTTAAAACGTCTATAATTTTGATTATATATGAATAATTGTTTAAAATTTTGCAGGTATATCATTCCAGGAAGCTCCAAATAGTGGAATATTTTCATCCCAAAAAGTGGAAGCAAAGGGAACATGTAAGATTTAACCAAATTACTGCAAAACTCTTAATAATCTCACCCTCATCTATGGGGGTACTTAGTAATTGGGCCCTAAGAGGAGATTTGTGGGTGTAAATAACCCTCACACATTAAATACTAGTTGGTCCATTATCCATTGGATGCGTGCCCGCCGGTCTAACCGAAATGCTAATCAGGGCCAATTCTGTCTGGACTTCAATTCCAAGGCCTTTCGAATGTAATTTCTGGCTTGTATTTCAGGTTTAGGCTTAAACCTATACACAAACAGTCTAGCAGAGCCCATATCCTGTAAAAATAGGCCCAATAATGCATTATGCATTGTAGAAATACAAAGTCTGCGGAAAATGTACTACATTTCTTCTACGGCTGAGTTTTGTTATGCGCTCCAGAAACCGTACTTCGGTTGGGTCGCGATGGGCGATGAGTATTTACCAACAATGACCAGGTTAATTTGTCAGATGACTCAGATTCATAAGAGCATGGCTACAAATTTACCGCAGATTTGATTGGAGCTCCATGGAGCTGAAACTGCAAGTTAATTATATCTCAACTTCTGACTTATCTTCGATGACTGCTGCAACCTAAATTCATTAATGCTCTGGATCAAATGCAAGAAACTTAATTTATCAACATTTACTTTGGAAGAGAAACTCGAGGAAGAATCATTTCATCCACTAATTAATTAGCTAAATGTGACAGCAAAATTGATTAAGTTCCAATCAAATCGAGATGCTTAACTTAACTTTGATAAGATTGTGACCNAAAAAAAAAAAAAAAAAAAAAAGGAATTTTTTTTAAATGAAAATTAATTAAATAAAAGAATTTTTCATTTTAAAAAGGATGGATTTTGAATCATTTACTGACGTGGAATAATAAAAAAAAATATTTTTTTTTTCTAATAAGTATAGATGTATCATAGATAAGGAAGTAAGGAGCTATATAAAATAAATTGATTTTGTTATTACATAAGAGTTGTTAAATTTGAATTAATAAATTAATAGATCTTTAACTGTTTAAACATTATCCCATTTATCTTGTTCAAAATCTTTAGTTAGCCTGAACAAAGTAACCCTGATCCTATAAAAAGTAAAACGTTTAGAGAGTGTTTGGTGCGCTGCACTAAACTGAATTAACTTTTTCGTCCTAAATTGGAATGAATTGAACAAGATTGGAGTGGATTAAATTTAATACTATCTCGTGTTCATGCAAAAACGGACTAAATTTATAATTAATTATTTAAATCTTTTAAAATATTTTTTTGAATATTAAAAAAAATTTGAACCGGTTGATTGGGTCACCAGTTGCTAACGATAACATGTGGTACGTCTGACAACACCACCAACACCATTGGGCAGATAATCGAACGATATATCCAATAGTGGTGTCGAAGAGTCTTCTGGCGAAGACAATTCAACAGAAAAAGTCGAAAAACACTATCGCCAAGGACACTGTTGGCATTATTGGCTAGATTGTCGATAGATCTATCCAAAGGTGGTAACAAGAAGTCTCTCAACAAAACGACTTTGTCGAAAAATGTTGAAAAATATTGGCCGAATCTTTTTCATCATTTTTCGAAAAAATGGCTTTGCCAAAGGACTCCTTGTTTGCAACATTGGATAGATCATCGGTCAATCTATCCAACGACACTAACAGTGTCATTGAACTCGTCGTTGTCAATAACACCGTCGACTGCCAACCAATGAGTCTACCAACCGTATCTCACGTTTTCTTAATATTAGATTAATTAATATTTAATGAAAATTGTTTTTCCTATAAAAAAAAAAAAACAAATGAATAAAATTCTTTTACTAAATAGTGCAGAGTCAACCCATGGGCGGATACGAGACAATTTTCCTAAAATTACTACTCACTTTTAATGCAGTCCCATTCTTCCAAATTTGTAACAAACATTTGACTACTTTTTTAAAAGAGCACTGTGGCGCTACCGATTATCAATTAGTGCAATGCAATGCTACAAAACAAACGCACCCTTAAGAGTTCAACCGGAATTATACTGAAAACTCATCTTAACATTTGGCTCAATTAAATAACCAAGTAGATAGTGACCCCCACCCACACAAGCCATTGCCCACAGGCAACCACTACCGTCGGTAGCAGTGGCAAACCCAGGATTTTTGCCCAAGGCCCCCCCCCCCTCCCCGCAACACTGTTTGCCAATCAACTAGTGAAAACATAAGAAAATAACATCCAATTCGCAAGGAAACACAAGAAAATTGTTACGTGGAAAAACCTCTTCAATGTGAAGAGATAAAAACACCACGGGAATCTAACGATCCACTTAAATCCAATATAATCAAAAGAGTTTACTAATGCGTATTTTTGACAAACATGCAAATGTAACAAGTGTACTAGTCACAAAAAGTAATAAAGTGATAAGTACAGTATCGTTCCCACGAGGATAGTATTACTAAGTACCTATTTCTCTAGTTTAAGTCCTAATTGAAGCAACAATAAATTGGATTGATGAAAAATTAACGAACTAAATACAATTTAAGAAAATATAAATGAATTATAATGAAATTAAAGCAAAA